GTAAAATATGACCTGAGCAAAGGCTCGCAGGCAGGTTAGCTGCTGCGCACGGGCAATATGTTTTGTTTACCTGAGTGCAGTCTTGCAGGCACATCGCCTTGTCTTTTTTTTAGTTTATTAACACTCACAGTGTATTAATGTGAGCTCCTACACCTAGAATAATTTGGCCTTTCATTGAATGCTTTATAAACTAGTTAAACTTAAAGATGTCATTGTGAATTGGAAAACTGCATTTGTTAAAGGTCAATGTTTCAATGTATGTATCATTAATTGTTGGTCGTTTACTAGGAATTGACATATTTTAAGCTCAAATATGTTGTTCTATGTTTAAACCTTCAGACACATTTTGACGTGTTTCAGTTCAGCACATCATTTATTTTGTGATGATTTAAAAGTACAACCCAGAATAATATACGTACTCGCCTTTATCTTTTTGCCATCTTAGCCTTTTGACCAATTTCTTCATATCACAGTTTTGCATGATGTCACTGTAGGACAATGTTTTAAGGATCTCCTGTCGAGCTAGGTTGTCAGTTTGAAATGTCTGGATGAAGATGTAAATGAATTACAAATGTTAAAAAAAAAGCCTCTTTTCATCCTCTATCTGAGGGAAAACCCCAAAAAGCATGATAGGGCAAGCCAGGCCCCTTTAAGTTATTTTATTTATTTGTGTCTGCTTCTGAGAAGCTAATGTATAAGTTATACAGTTATTTCTGCAAGAAAATTACAATACAATTACTGTTTAATCTTCACGTCTTGTATTCATGTCTATAATTTTGAGCACCAAATTATTGAAAAGTATCGATAAGAGTATAGAAAAATACCGATACCGATAAGCAGTACCGGTATCGACAAAATCCTAACGATACCCATCCCTAATCAAGACACTGGGTGTTTCTCAATGTCGAGGACGCTTCCTTGGTAGGACATGTCCCTCCGAGGCAGGTCCTTCAGAAGCGAGGCAAGAATCCTTCCTAGCCTCGGAAAACGAAGAATGGTGGAACAGGCTGACAGGTGTGCGTCATATGCAAAGCCCCGCCTTAAATGGAGCCTGGCCATTGGAACAGTCCTTCGGCGGGACTCCATGACGTAGCATCCTTGAAATAGTGGCTCTGGAGCATCCTTCCTTGACATTGAGAAACACCCACTGGTCAAGAGTTGTCAAGAACTGGAGGCAATTTGTGAAATGTGACAGATGCAGCCACATTGTGATTCTTTATGCACAATTAACCATGGACTTCCTTAGACTATGTAGCAGCCGTACAGAAGATATTCATAATAATACCATTGGAGAAAATGTATCAGTGCAAGGAGAAATATATGGAAAGGTTGTGATTAAAATGACTGCAGATGAAACCGCAATACAATCTGGAAATCGTAAAGCTTCAAGCTGTAAATCATGTGAACAAATGTTTGAGCATAAAATAAGCAAACTATAATGAAAAGGAACTAAAACAGTGGAATCAGAAGTCCCTTAAAGCTTTTATCCACCAAGCACAGGCCTGAGAAAATCTGCCTTGAGTTAATAATTAAAGCTTCTGATTCTTTTCTGAACACAATACACACAACAACAACAACTCTGACTCTACATGTAAACAACTTGTGATCATCTGTGCCCCACCTTGGTGAGCTCTGTGCGGAGCTCCTCAGCCTCCTCCTCCGTCAGGCCGGGGGGGAGAGGGTTCAATGCATTTGCTCCTGCTCCTTCCACCGCTCCTTCCACCACTCCCTCCACCTGAACGTCAGACAGGACGGCTGAATTCTCTGCAACGAGGCCCTTGTGAGGAGAGTTCAGGTTGATATCTGGAGAGGGAGGAGATGGGATAACAGGAAGGGAGGGGAAGAAGACAAGGTGGAGAATAGAAGAAGTTGATGGGAGAGAGAAATAAAGAGGAAGCAGAGGTCTGCCTTGAGTGGTTTTATACGATTATCTGTCTCTCTGTATCTATTTCACACAGAAACCAAGGCCAGGGGAAAGCTAGTGGTGCCAGCAGACGATATCCGACAGGAAAAGAAAGTGGCAATTAGCGGAGACAGGAGTTGAACTGCATGCTTTCCTTTCCATAACCATCACATCTTTTGCTTTCGGTAAACAGGAGGTCCGGGATCATTAATATAAGTAGGGAGACGAAACGATTCCCAATAAGAACAACACCGAGCTATGATCTATTCTTGTATAAACCTTTAAGTTATACTGAAGTTAAATTAAAGTTTGAAACCTAGCTTTTATATGTCAACCTTTATATGACAATGATTACATGTAGTGTCATTCAAACGAAGCCAACTTCATGATGTTGGCAGATAAAGGAGTTTGGCAGTCAGAGCTGGCATGGAGGACACAACAAAGGGGAACAAACAAACTGGAACCATTTTCTGTAACAATGGGTAAAAATAGCCTTATGCTGAAATAGTAGCACATTGCAATTGCAATCAATGGGCGAACCTCTTGTGAAGAAAAGTAGACCTAAACTTACAAACCAACCAGCGAACAGGCAGTGATTTGAAGTGTAGGGCTGTCCTCTTTTAAAGAACAGTCTTACTTTCACCTTTAGCAGTTTAGCATGACATCTTAACCATTGCTTCAGCATGATGGATAGGAGTCCTGAATGCAACACTGAGTTTCTCCATAATAGCAGTGCAGCAACCATGTCTACCCGACTGAGTGCACGAAAACATCCACAAACACATAAGAGTGTTTCAAAAGACCAAGATTTGCATTATCTGCAGGTAGTGCTGGTGACTGATGTGGTGTCTCAACAACAACATCCGCATACAAGCTCGCAAGACATTCGGCTGTTCCACCCTCAAGGTATATTGATTCAGGAAGGATTCAGCCCCGCCCGCAGAAACAACAGCAGCCAGGTTTAAGAGACACAACAAACAAGCTCATACGAGAACAGAAAAGGGGAAAGTACAAATTAAGTGATTTCCTACACTTCCCAGAATGCCCTAAGACAACCATAGTGAAGTCAAGAGTTAAGTTCTCATATATGGTCAAGATTTGCTTATTTTTTATAGTAGCAGGCCAAGCAGATTGTGCAACACTGAGGCGTGTATTTGATCAGCTACACCCTCCACTTAAGGCCTTGTTGCTGCATTGCATCCTGGTCTATTTTCTGCAGATATTGATGTAGGAATGAGTGTTTGTGGCACTTCCATTTTGAAACACTAAATAGATTTATTTCCTCGTTGACATAGATTGACAATAAATGCAACACCTATTATTGGCATTTGTGGAATGGAGATTTTTTTAAACTGTGTTTGACAATTTTCTTTACAGGAAAACTAAAATAGTTATCACCACCACACATCGACGCAAAAAAAATGTTAATGTTAAAACAAAGACATGACAGCATCATGTGAGGATGCATCAGTCAGAAAGAGTCCCCGGCTCAGCCTCATTTAGGGAACATCAGTAGTGGGATTTTATTCGGACAGACATGCCCCTAAATCCAACCCAGTGTGTCATACTTCAAGACAGGGAAATGAAGGCACACCTTAATGGTTTCCTATAAGAGCTCATCCTGAGACACAGGAAGCTTGATACAGCATGACATGTCTATCTTGGCCACTCACTATTCCAAACCACAGGAAGTCTCATTAGGACATCCTCAAAGGAGAAACCAATGTACATCGTATTCCTTAC